CTTCTTTCTTTCTTTCTTTTTTTTGTTTGGTCTTTTTGAGACAGGGTTTCACTGTGCAGTTCAGACTGGCCTTCAGCTCATGTCATAGCCCACGATGGCATCAAACTTGTGGCAAGTCACCTGCCTCAGCCTTCCCAGTACAGGGACTACAGGCATGCACCAGCACGCCCGAGCTTCTCATGCAGTTCTGATGGGCATTTGCCTAATGCTTGGTGGTGCTGAACAGTGCTTCCTGTGTTTACTGGCCATTTGCATATCTTCTTTAGAGATCTGTCTCTTCAAGTCCTGGGCCTGTTTTTTAACTGGGTTATTCTTTTTCTTGTTGTTGAGTTCTTTACACATTCTGGATGTTAACCCCTTATCAGAGACATGACTTGCAAATACTTTTTCCCGTTCTCCAGGCTTTTCACCCTGTGATGCACAGAAGTTTTTAATTTTCATGTACTGTTGTTTGATCTGTCTTTTTCCGTTTGTTGTCTGTACTTTTGGTGTCAGAGCCAAGAAATCATTGCTAAATCCAGTATCATGAAGTTTTCTTTATGTTTTTTCCTAAGAGTTTTATAGCTTTACTTCTTATGTTTAGGTCTTTGATCCAGTTTGAGCTGGTTTTTGCAAATGTTTTTAGGTCATGGTTCAACTTCATTCTCGTATATCTGGATATCCGGTTTTCAGGCCACCATTCACGCTACCACTCTTTTCCACATTGAGTGGCCGTGACACCCTTGTCAAAAATATTACTGGACTTATTAACTAACATTTTGAGATTAATCCCCACAACCTCTATGAAATTGGTACCATTACCATGTTTTTAAAGATGATTGTGAAAGTGAAGGAGAGCTGGGCATGGTGGCACATGCCTGTAATCCCAGCACTTGGGAGGCTGAGGCAGGAGGACCACTTTGAGGCCAGCCTAGACTACAAAGTGAGTTCAAGCCCTGCCTGAACTGCATAGCAAGACTCTGTCTCAAAAAAAAAAAAAAAAAATCGAGGGAGAAAATTATTCTGGTTATTTAGAGGTAGGACCGTAAAAACAAAATAAAACTAGGTTTATTGGCTAAATTAAATTTACAACTGAAAAAAGACAACACAATTGCTTTAATCCTTTATAATGGGTTACCATACAGATTTTGAAACGATTCAAATCAATTCTAGTATAGAAAGAAATAAGGTCATAGGGCTTCTGTAAAAGAATCATTAAAAATATAGAGCTGAGATCTGTCACTCAAATTACAGACTGACACATCACTCAATTCATGGGCCAATAAAATGCCAGTCTTCCGGGCCTCACTTTTGGCAGAAGCTGGCTTTTGTTAGGGCCTAATATAGCACCATTTCTGTCAAGAGACACCAGCCAACCCAGAATCTGTTCTCTACTAATGGCTGAGTCCTCCTGTCCCTAAAAACCTTCACTGCCTAAATGGCTTGAGTCCTGTTTCCACCGCCCGGCAATGCCTGCCTGAACGAAACCTCTCGGAGCTGGGGACAGCTGGGCAGAGCGCGATCCCCGGGGGGCAGCCTGGCTGTGCTCTGTCTTTGGTATGGCCTGGCACCTCTACCCCTAGAAGCAGTAAGCTGAGGATCTACCAGCACATCTGCTGTAACTGTCATGGCAGTTGGAGGAAAGGCCATAACTGCCTCCCTTTCATCTGGGTAGTAAACGCTGATTATATTTTCATGCTTGGTAGAAAGACGTCTGTTTGCAGCTTCTACCTGCTGCACACGCTTCTGACAGGATCCCCGTTCTCCTGTACTCCCTTCCTCCACCTCCCTTCGTAGATTCTTCATGTGGAGACAAGATGGGAACATGTTCTTGAGAGCATTTTGTTGTCCATCCTGTGCGTGCTACGCGCCGCTCACTCATCTTGTAGAAACAGCATGAGTTTCTCAAATTCACACTCCCCAGCCTTTTGAGGAAGTGCTGGCCGCAGGTGCTGCGGGTGTCGGGTCTGTCCCCTCCTGACTCGATGCTGAGAAACGGTCAGCGAGCCACGCTGCAGACACCCCTGGACGCGAGCAGGGGCAGTGGCTCGCAGTTAGAATGACCCTCACCAACCACAGCAGAAAACCCTGGCAAAGATGTGCGCTGCCTTGACGTGAGGCGCGGAGGCGCGGAGGCGCAGAGGAGAAGTTTCAAAGGACCAGTCCGGACCCAGCAAGAGCGTGAGAACCACTGTGGAAAGCTTGTGGGGAAGGTTCTCAGACTCAGAAGGAAAATCCAGACTCCTGTGGTCTGAGGTGCTGAAGCTGAGTCCTCCCCTCAGTACCAAGCCAGGTGTGAGGCCGAAGTCCCCCGTGCAGGTGCCCAAGTTGACTATGTTAATCCACTGTTTAAAACACTCGCCCTGGAGCATCCCTATCATACCTTCTCCGGCAACCGTGCTCTGCTGGTGCGTGCACTATCACCCTTCCGACCTGTTCCACACACCTCCTCCTGGGCTGCTGTCCTTCCAGAACTTTCTTGGGTCGGGGAAGCTTTCTTTATGGGTCGCACTTACTGGCTCCAGCACTCAGGGGGGCACAAAAGCCCACAGAGACGGGAGGGGCCGGGGTGCAGCTCCTAACAGGCGCGGGGCTCTGGGTAGAATCCCCAGTCTCGAACACAACCCCAACCCCGTAAAAACACACACAAGGTTCAGACCTTGCGATCCCACCTCTGGAAGGGCTTAGCGACCCAGGTTCTTGATAACTTTGGCTCCGGGCAGCTCGCACGCAGAGGGGCGCGGAGGGCGAACCAGTCAAGCAGCAGCTCCCGGGCTCCGAACCCCACAGCGGGGAAGGCCCCCCCCTGCTGGACGCGTCCCGGGCTGTCACTCGCCGCGCGGAGCCCAGGGGGAAGGCTGAGTCCCGGGGCGTCCCAGGGGCTTTCCAGGGGCCCTAGTAGAAGGAGACCAGACCTCCCCAGACTTCGCGCCCTGCCCGGGGCTCTCAAGCGGCTGCCACAAAGAGCCCACGGTCCTACAAAAAAAGGCAACACCAGGGATTGATCTCAGAGCCTTCATACTGAGCTACATCCCTGGCGCCTCCTCTTTTAAATTATTTTTTGCTCATTCTTGAAGTAGGGTCTCAATAGCTAAGTTGCCCAGGCTGGACTCAAAACTTGCCATCCTCCTGCCTCAGCCTCCCAGAGTGGCTGGGATTACAGGCATGGCCCGCACACCTGGTTCCGATGCCCCACTTTGCAGCTAGCATTAGCAGAAGCCAAGGCCAATGTCTTCCTTGCTCCAGAAAGCAGCTGTGCTCCAAGGGAAGCAGCAGTATCTCCTGGGACAGGCCGATGGGCCCTCTGGGCAAAGCTGGTACAAGGAATCCTCCACGTTCCCCTCTTTCTTTTTCTAACCATTGCAAATGTTCAGAAGAGCTGCGAGTACAGAACAGAGAACATTTGCATGACCCATCTGGACCTCTTGCTGTCCACTGTCTCATCCCTTCCTGTGTACTTCTGTGTGGCTTTCCTTTATTTTCCTAGATGGCCAAGATACAGCTGTCGAAGTTGGGAAATTACTGCAGTACAGTCCTGTCATCTAGCCTTCAGCCCCACTCCCGTCTCCCAGGTACCGCTGTGATACCATTTATAGGAGAGAGTGCACCTCATCATCCCATGAGCTGTACCGTCTCCTGTAGTGTGTGTGTGTGTGTGTGTGTGCGTGTGTGTCTGTATATGTGTGTGTCTTGCTGGCAGTTGAACCCAGGGCCTTTGCACAAAGCTACATCCTCAGCCCTTTTTTGTTTTGATCCCGAGAGTCACTAAGTTGCCAAGTTGTCTGGGTTGGACTCAAACTTGTGATCCTCCTGCCTCAGCCTTCCAGAGTGTGGGGTTTTGGGCATGGCCACCACACCAGCTTTCCTGTTGTCTCTTCTGTCTGGAGCAGTTCCTCCATCTTTTCTTGCTACCCTTTTTTAAGATTCAGGCCAGTTACTGTGTAGCCGTCCATCCTTCCCGTTGGGTTTGTCTGATGCTTCTGCATGAGAACTGTGTTCTGGTTATGCAGAAATATCCACCAGACATGCTAGGGTCTTTTCTTTGCGCCCTGGGAGGTGACATGTGAGTCCAGCTGGTCCCATGGCTATGACGTGGCGCACTCCTGGGCGGGTCTGGGCCCCTCCACGTGAGCGCCTCTCCTTCCCCCACCCTGCCTTGGCTGTGAGCCCTGCACAGGCCACCCCCAGGAGCGCTGCTCTCGGCCCTGCACCCCTCTCTGGGCTCCCGTGTCCCTCGGCGTGGCTTTCAGGGTGAACAGTCCTGAAGGTGGGAGGAGGGACGAGAGAACGAGGAGCAGGCGCCGCTCACAAGGTGACAGCAGCTGCTGCTCACACAGCACTGGCCCGCTTAGCACCTCTTGGGTGGGGGTCGCTGTTCCGACCACTGCACAAACAGAACCGAACCCTGCGAGGCTACCCTGCCTGCCCACGGGTACACAGCAAAAGCAGGGTTCAAAACCAGGTGCCGGGCTCTGGAGAGAGCGGCTGGTCTAGTTCACTTCGCAGAAAGCGCTCCTGCTTCGACTGTCAGTGACTTCCACGTTCCGGAATCCAAGGGACAGGTGTCAGCCCACGGGCCGCGGTGCCACCGCACGGCTGAACCGTCCCCTCTTGGCCTCCGTGGCACTGCACTCCGGGTTTTCTCCCACCCGTTCTTTCTGTCACTTTCCCCAGCTCCTACTTCTCTCTCTCCTCTCGGGACGTGAGCCCCTCAGGGCTCGGGCTGCCTTCGCTTCTCGTTTGTTCTCACCGCATTCCTCCGCCCTTGATCGTCACGCGTGTGCTGACAACACTGGGGTTTACCCTTCCAGTTTAAGCTGCTCCTCGGCACATTGGCTTGGTGTTTTCTCCTGCAGTTTGCATTCTACAGGCTCCAATTAGGTTTCTTGCTTTAGCCTCCACCTCCCCAGTTTCCCGCAGTGAGTGAAAGAGCCTCCGTCACAGCCCAGCTGCCTGTGGCAGAAGCAGACAGCCACACACCCCAGTTCACTATGCAGCTGATGGGTGACTGGTTGCTGGACTGAGGACTGACACGAAGGCCATCACAATGAGCTACATCCTCAGCCTTGTTTTTTTCTATCTTATTTTGACAGAAGTTCTCACTAAGTCACAAAACTATCAAGGCTAGGCTCAAATTTGCAATCCTCATGCCTCAGCCTCCCAGAGTGCTGGAATTATAGGCGTGCTTACCACATCTGACTCCAGAGCAAAGCTTTATCGCTGCTTCTTCCAAAATGTATCCTGAAAGCTGTCTGTGTCTGTCCCTCCACCCTTAGCTTCCAGCCACCTCTGCCTCTTTCCTGGACTCCTGCAGCAGCCCCTTGAGTCTCCCACGCCGCTAGTCCTCCACACGGCACTCAGGGATCTTGAAAGCTATCCCACAAGTGGCTTCCCACCAGTGGCGAGTGAGACAGAGCCTTCGCTGCACATCACGGTTTATGGGCCGAAGCTAGAAGCATCTTGCCCCAGAAAGTCGGGAGCAAGAGGCCAAGATGCTGCCTGGTGACCTTTAAGCATCATGATACGCTGGCAGCTCCCCGCCTCTCCTTGCAGCCAGCGCTCTCTGCAGAGCTCCAGGCTCAGATGCCACCAGCTGCCTGCCCAGTATCTCACCAGGATGCCAGGAGCACAGACATGCAGCGCACCCACCATGCCACTCGCATCCCCTCCTCAACTTGCCAACACCAGCCGGGCCAAAAGCCCCGGAGGCATTACTGACTCTTCCTTCCATCAGCTCCTGCATCCAGTCCACCAGCAAACTCCTCAGCGTAGAGCTAGCTTGGACACATGCTCCTCACTGTGGACGCCTGGTCTCGTCTCCCTGCTTTCACCGCAGAAAGCCTCTTCCTGCTGCCGCCCGCATCCCTCTCCTGTCTCCTCTCAACCTGGAGTCCATAGAGCTCCATACCGGTATGTATGGGATCTAAATCTTTCTAGAACTCAACCTATACCTGTGTCTGTAGCTTTGGCTCCTGTCACTCCACCGGCCAAGGCCGCCAGTGGTTTCCCCTCACGTAGAGCAAGGTCTTCCCATGGCTCATGGTCTGGCACCTCGGTGTCCTTCCTGACCCTGATTCGCTCCTTTACTGACGTTGCTCCAGCCACATTGGCCTCCTTGTTCTCCAGACACCTCAAGTGCTAATGCCTCAGGGTCTTTGCACAAGCTGCCTCCGCTTCCTGGAACAGGCTCCCTCCAGACAGCAACACAGCTTTGCCTCTCATTTCCTATGGATGTCTGTGTAAAAGAACACTTCTCAGCCAAGGCTCCCCTAGAAGCCTCCTGTGAGACAGCAGCGCCTCTTGCTTTCAACTCTGTAGCTTTCTTACCAGGTTTCGTTCTCCTCTGGAAGACTCAGTCTGACATGCTACAAGCTACTTCTTCATCAGTTCATTGCCACCCCGCCCAGGTCGGACGGAATCTGTCTGCCTCTGCTCTCTGCTCCGTGCCCAGCACCGTGTTTGGCACCTGGCAGGGAGGGCTGTGTTCAGGGAGCAGGTGAGGAAGTGAGGCTCAGGGGCTGTGCCTCACCCACTGACGCCCACGGAGCCCAGTCCCACCCTGCATGGAGTCTGTAAGCCCCCGTGGATCCCGCCCCCCAAGGAAGGGGAGGGTGTTCCCCAGTTAGGGTGCCAGGGTGTAGTCAGGGGAGTGGAGTTCAGTTTCCTCTGAGAAGAAACCCTGGGCTTAAAGATTTGTGGGGAAAGATACCGGAACAGGCAGAGGCCTCCTGAGCCCACCTGTACTGTAGCCCGGCTGGGACCCTGGCCCGGAGGGGGCCCCCAGGCCTCAGCCTCTGGCTGCCTGTGCCTGCAAGGCAGGGGCCACATCCGCCTGCCCCTGCTGCCTCGGAGATGCCAACACAGCAGCCCGATCAGTGGCTCCAGAGGTCACAGTTTGTAGGTTCCCTGGAAGACGCAGGCCAGGAGGGGCGCCCTCCGTCCCCACCCCGGCCGGGACCCCTCTCCAGCCCCGCGTGCGCGCTGCGGCCGCGCCACTCACTCTGACCCTCGCTGATGGAGATCATGCTGCGGGCCGCCTGGGGGGCCTTCCGGGTCAGCCGGCTGGAGGCGAGGGCCCAGAGGACCGAGCCTGTGCATGCTCCCGTGAAGCTGAACCTTGGTAACTGCGGAGGAGGCTCTGGTGAATCATTAACCCCCACCCCTCACGCTGCCCACACTCCGCTCCGCCGCTTAAAGACGCAGGCTCCCCGCTGCTCCTGATCCCCAGGCCACCGCCACCGGACCCTCTGCACGCCCCCTTCCTCATACGGCTCCCGTCTCCTCTACAAAACTTGGATTGTAAATGGGAGAAATAGGTTCTGGGGTGCCCAGGGCTCCTTGCTTGGTTTGGTAGAACTTGTGGGAAGACTTGGACTCGGTGGGTGTCTTTGGAAATGTACTAAATTCAGCTTCAAAGTTTTTTTTTTTTTTTTTTTTGCTTTGTGCAGTACACATGATAGACGCCAGGGGGAGACAAGCAACTGAGTGAAACCTGTTGCAGCCCTAATGGGAGAGCCAGATTTGGGCAAATCGGGGCAAACGTGCCCCAAGGGAGCTAGACCTCAAGGGATTCAGCCTCCTTTCCTCCAGCTTTAAACTGTGAGGTTGAGCTACAGAAGACAAGCCTTGCATGTGGGCTAGGGTGGGGCTAAACAAATCAGGAGGCTGAGTTCTAGTCTACCACGCAGCTGTGTAGACCTGGGTGAACCCTCCCTCCTCTGCCAGCTGCAGAAGGGGAAAGCACAGAGTTCCTCGGGACCTTTTCTCCATCGCAGAGGGGCAGCTCGAAACGCCTTTACGGCCAGCCTCCCCTTTGAAATGTGCTCTTTATCCAGAAATGAAGTTCTTTGATCATATGCTCCATCTCCATACATCAATTAAAAGCTCAAAGAAAGCTAACTCTACTAAGAGTAACACAAGAATAATTTATAATGAAACATGATGCCTCTCAATATAGAAATGCTCAGGGACATACGTGAAATAGGCTGATGGTGTCCACCTACCTATCATAACTGAGCTTGAATTTAATAGAAATAGAAGACTGGAGCCATTCCATGCCAAAGCAAAAACCACAGGCACATCAGAAAACTCAGTAGGGAGTGAACCCCGGTTCACTAGAACAGACTGGATAGGCCGGTGATGACAGACCGGATGTGCTCACATGAGAGGGAAATCACCTTCACGCAAGCAGGGGTGGCTGGCGTGTGCGGTAAGGTAGAGTGGAGACAACGAGGCATGTGCAGACCTGGGTCTTAACACGCTTGCGAATCATCAAAACATTTCCCTGCGCTGTGACATCGAAGGGGGGGTGCTATGCAACAGTACAGACACGCAGATGTGGGCCCTGAAATGCTGCCATCGCTGGAGGGAAAATTCAGCCGCCAGAGGTCTCTGGGAAATACAGGATGGATGGGGAGGAGGTGCTAAAGGCGGCTCACGGCAACTGCACGTGGACCCATGGGAAAGTGTGGGAAAAACAATGGACCACTGCCCGGAGCATTTCCACATGTAATTGTTACAACATAGATGGCCACCCTCAGGCGGCAAAAGCTTTAAAAATATAGAAGGTGGCAAGAATATGAAATAATTTCTGAAAACTTTTATCAAGGAGATCCATTGAGCGCTCTTACACTTCATAGATCTCTGCTTTCTTTTCAAAAATTTATTTCATTTTTTATGTCTTTTTCCAGTACTTGGGATTGAACCCAGGGCCTTCATGCTGAGCTTTTCTTCACATACGCTTCACTCCAGCCTTTCTTTCCTTTCTTTTCCGCTTTCTTCTTTCTTTCATTTCTTCTTCCTTCCTTCCACTCCATTTGACCCACCTAATGAGCCACTGCTTGTTGGAACTATTTCTTTCCAAATATGTAGTAGTTGAAATGCTATAACACATCGTGTAGCCAAGGCAGGCAGCATATTATTCAGGAATTTTGAGACAATGTCTCCATTGCATTTTAAGTTTCTTCTCCACAGTAGGTATCTCCTCATTTGCCCAGCCATTCATGAAACTCATTTAAAAACAATTTAAAAGCTTATACATAAGCCGGGTGTGGTGGCGCACACCTGTAATCCCAGCACTCGGGAGGCTGAGGCAGGAGGATTGCTGTGAGTTCGAGACCAGCCTGGGCTACAAAGTGAGTTCAAGGCCAGCCTGAACAGCATAGCGAGACCCTGCCTCCAAAAAAGACCAAAAAAAAAAAAAAAAAGCTTATACAATTTTTTTAGCAGTAGCATGAAGTATGACTACCTTATATTGGCAGTGGGGTTTTCCCACTTCGTACATTGTAAACTTGCAGAGAACAGGACAATCATTTTGGAAATGTGCTTTGCGGTCATTAAATGCCAATAAAGAATTTTGCTTGCCTTATCTAGATCACCCCCCCAACAGCCAAAATGGCCCCTCGGGGCCAGTATGACTCCCCCACCCATAGCTCAAGAGTTTGGGCTCTGAAGTCAGTGCCCTGGGCTTCACCCCAGTGTCAGGAGCCCTGAGCCATTCTATTTACCTTTCCATGCCTCAGTTTCTTGCATAAGAATGCTGCCTGTCACAGGGAGATGTGAGGGTTGGTGAGAGCCGCTACCTGGCATCCTGAGCACCTAATGAGCCATCTTTACTACAGCTGTGTTAGCATTGCTCTCATTAGCACACTGTTAATACAACATCATATACGAGACTTCTGCTCCTGCCTCCACCTGCTCTAAGCTGCTCCCACAGGGGAAACAAAGCAGCAGCTAGGAACCCCTCCCTGCCCTCCCCAGCCAGCCCCAGAGCCCACAGTGAGCACAGGAGGACTGGACCCTCCTGAAATGGGGTCCCCCAGGCCCAATTTTCTGGGTTCACCCACAGCTGGCCCTCCTGGAGAGGGCCCCTTACAGGAACGGACTCAGGAAGGAGTGTGTCCGTCCAGACGCTGGGCCGTGGCCGGTGGCAGTCTTGGGGCCAGCCCAGAAGGTGATGATTTCCAGTGAAGGCCAGCTAGCTGTGAAGGAGGCCTTGGAAAACCTTCCCCAGTGGTGGCCTGGGGACTTTCCCAACGTCATGTGAACACTCCCTCGTGACTACAAAGGCACGTGAATCTTCAAAGTGATTTTCATTCATTTTCTCATTCGGTTTTCTTGAAATGTCTTAAGATGGTGATAACAGCATTTTTACAGATAAGCAAACAAAGACAGAAGAAGCAGAGTGACTTGACCAAGCCTTTACGCAACCAGCAGGGCCAGGCACTGGGCATGACAGACCACTTTCTCTCTGTCCTCTCAGCACTATGGCACCCAGCTCCACGCTGGTGGCTTGCAAGGAGGGTTAGGAGGGCGAGGAAGGTGAGCTCCTGTGTGACCTCAGCAGAGCTGACTGCCACCTGGCTGCCTGCCTGGTTGGCCGCTGTGCCTGACCATGCAGTCCCTATACCACCCCTCAAAGGGCAGGCTGAGAGCGGCTTCATTCGCATTGTCCGACGGTTGCCCCCTTTTACAGACAGCCTGGCTTGGTAGGAGGGTTGATCTTGGCTGGGAGGCAGAGCCTGTAGCACAGTCCACACCTCTGTAAGCCTGTGCAGCTCACTCTAGCCCAGATGGGGCTCCAGACAGAGGTGTGGCTGCCATAAAGTGACAGTTTTCCAACACCAGCCTCGAGGTGTCTGTGGGGGCCTAAAGCTGGTCCCAACCTGCCCTGTTCACAAACGACATCAGAGTTTTCAGGTCTCCTGATGATGCTACAAAGTACACATGTAAAGCAATGCACACCCACTCCAGTGCCTCTTTAGAGATGAGGACAGCTGTCCAGAACTCACCATCAGCCATTACAGCCAAGCCACTGCGAAACCAGGACCTGGAGGAACCTCGCCTCCCCATCTGCCCTCAGTTTTCTTCGGTCTTGAACCATCCCTGCCTCGCATCCTGCAGGAGGCCTGCCACTACCTTGGGCTCACTTTTCTCTCCTGATCCACCCCACAGGAGTCTCTAGGCTTCTTGAGTTCTAGTAAAGCCCTTCATGCTGAGTGCCAATAACCCATAGCCATTAAATACCTGCCAAGGGAATAAGCCCTAAGGGTCAAGACTGGAAGGGAACTGGGGTGGTCTCTCTGCAACTCCCCCCAACTAAATCACACATGGTCTCGCACCCCAAAGCAGCAGTACAGGACATTTGGTAGTAACAGAGAAAGCCTGGGATTTCTCTTCACCAACCTCCCGTCTCCGAGGCAAGTCAAGGAAGGTGCCAGAGCCTGAAGCTCCAATACCTCCACCATCCTGGGCTCAGGACAGCTCAGAGCTGGGGTCGCCTGCCCTGAAACAACAAGCCTGATGTTGGTGGCAAACCATCGTCCAAGGCTCCTGGGAGGCGGCGCTCTTCCCAGAACTCCGGGATCCTTGTGCGGCAGAGCTGGAGATGGGCAGCTACCTCAGACTCTACCCTTTCCTACCAAGGCCCTAAATGACCACTGACCAGGAGGGCTGCCAGAGGCTGCCACAGACGCAGAGCCGAAGACACACACATGTACAAACCATTCATTTTATTGTTGGGATTGGGTTTATACAAACTTGCAATATACAAATGCAGAACTCACCAGGATTCTGAAGTAGACTGAATAAGAATGCTCTGAAAGAAGGGGGCAAACTCTCCCTATCTGTCAGGATGTCCCTCCTCGGGGAGGGCTTGACGGCTAGACAGCTGCTAAGGGCATGATGCTACAGCGGTTTGGTCCCCACAGAGGTGCTCTCTGTTTCTCTAACCTTAACTCACTTAAGGTCACTTTTATGCTAAATAAAGACACTGAGATCATACAGTTCCTTATACGGTTTATTGTCTAATTCTAGTAAATCAAATTGGCCCCAATATGTGCATAAATAGATATATGTATATATATATATATATATAATATTTTCCTTAGTTTTAAGAGCTGCCAGGTAGAGGGGAAAGGAAGTGATCCCATCTTGTTGCAGTCGGCCCTGCCTCAAAACCATGCCTGGCACACAGGCAGCGGAGCAAACGCGCACAGCTTGCACCTGGGAACATCTCTAAAGTGACAGTAGCAGTATTCGGTTGCAGCCTCTTGGTTATTGATCAGGGAGGTGATGGGCTAATTGGAAAGGGACCAGATGAGTAGCCAAGGCTTTCCACAGCAGGGCTGCTTAGCCCTGGGCTTCCATCTGGACCCTGTTCGTTCATAGCAAGGTATTCTAGGCTGGAACACAGTACCAGCAAAATCCAGCGTTGGGGGTCAGGCTTCAAATGCTGGCCAGGAGCTGTGTGCAAAATTCCAAAACTCTTGATTTGGATCTGGACAGAGTTCCATCGCCCCCAAATCCTTGCAAGTCAAGAGCCTCGCTGCTCACTCTGATGATCAACGGGCAGTCTGAGAGGCTGGGCTGGCATAGTTCAGTGCCCCAGCAAGCAGCCTGCTGAAGGCCCAGGGTTTCTCGGGCAAAGCTGAGATGTTACATTGTCGGTGGGACCCTCCCCACCTAGAAGGTGACTTCACAGCCTGGATGCCAGACCGAGGTGCCATGCCCGGAAGAAGAGGTCCAGAAAGCAAGGTCACAAAGAGAAGCCAGATGCCATGGGTGTGAGCCCCACCTGAGAGGAACCAAGCGCAAGTGTGAGAAGTCCAAGGAACTCAAGAGCAGGGACAGCACAGAGGACCCCAAGCCACTTCCTCTGGGCCGTGCACCAAGTCACAGGTCCCGCAGGGAGCAGGAGGACATCCTAGTGCTTTCAGCATGGGCTGCCATGAAATTCCTCCTTTCCAGCAGCAGGACAAGGGCAGGTGGCCAGGAGCCATGAGGATGTGTGCCTGCCTCGGTGTCCGTCCTGCACGTGACTGTAAACATTTCCTCCAGGAGGACTCGGGCACTGGCAACCCTGCCAGCGCCAGTGGGAGCTGACAGTGCCATCAAATCCTTGGAGCGGGGCTTCGGGGGAAAGGCCTGTCCTGGCAAGATGCTTGCTGGGGAAGCCCTGGGGACCGGCCCTTCACTGAGTGTGCAATGGGAAGGCAGGGGGCTGTGGGCAGAGGGATGGGCACAGGACTGGGACTCACCACTGCCACACCCGCCTCGTTACACCACCAGCCCATCCTGTTCAGACATTGCACATTTTGAAATAGTTTTGCTTTTTAAACAAAAGCATAAAATAGATCTGTCTTAAGATAAGTCTTTCCTCTCTCCCCTTCTTTGGATCAAAAAGGCAAGGGTTATGGCCTCAACATGCTAGGAACACTGTGGAGAGGAAGGGGCCCAGGCAGGAGCTGAGGAAAGGACTGATACCCAAACAAACGAATATATTACACAGATATCCATAACGTGAATCATCTCCAAGAAACATATATTAAGGCATGTAAAGCAACACACGGCGCTGGCTTTATGACACAGGGGAGAGAGGTGGCAGAGGTGTCGACATTATTTCTCAGTACTTTACATGTAGATTTCTAAAAATACCACTTTAAAAAAAGGAGAGAGATCAAGAAAGGCGAAGGCATGGAAGGCCCTGAACAATCTGTTTCCTATGGAAGGAGAAGCGGGTGGAAAGAGAGGGTGACCTGGGAGCCAATCCCACCTGCCAGCGTGTAGCGGGGCAAGAACAGATTTGGGGTGCTTGAACTGCGAAGGTGGGAGATGTACCCGCGGGTCATTTTCATGTTCCAAAAAACCTACGAGAAGGGAAAGTAGGCGGAATCCTCCCAGTCCGTAGTCCCTCAGAAGCGTGAGAATATCCGAAGCACCTAGAACAGTGCCTGGTTCCTACAAGATGGTCAGTCAGCGTGTGCTGAATGAATTGTCACCTCTGCTTGCATATGAGCCAGCAGCTGCTCCAGCCATGGAGGAGTGGAGAGGAACCGGTGGGAGAGGAAGCACTTGTTCTTGGTGCTGCTGGTCACACTGAAGTCTCTGGCAGCAACTCTGGCAGAAAAACTCTCAGGGCCAGGTGTCCTCAGGTCCCCCTCCTTTGTCCTCTCTGGCTACATTCATCTCAAGGTGGGTGGAGTGGAGGAAGGACGTGCTTTGCTTCCGTCTCTCCCCCAGCTGCTTCCCTGGGCAGGTGCACTGTAATCCCAGCCTTGGTCCTCCTGCTCTAGATGCCTGGGGTGAGGGACCAGGCCTGGAAGCTGGCCCCCCAGATTCAGGCCTCATCCCCCTCCTGGGGCAAGCCGTCAGGGGGGCGGCAGCACTGCAAGGGGAAGGGGCAAGAAACTGGCTAGGCAAGGCCCAAGGCGAGCCACACCCTCTGTAAGACAGGTGCTTTCCTCTGCGGCCCCTGACCCGAGGAGGGGGAGGCAGACACCAGACCCTGGCTCAGGAAGGACCATCTCCTGGGCTGTCACTACTGACTGTCCCTCACCCACACCTCGGTCCCACACCAAGCACCTTAGCTGAAGCCACTGCATACCCTGCTGGCAGGTCCCCTGGGTCACTTGCTCCTGGGGTTGAGGTGGAGTTGCAGAGGGGACCGTCTGCTTAACACTCAGCACTGACCTTAGGCTCTGCTGCCGTGGGGAAGCCCGTTCTATCCTCTTCCCATCTCCCCTGCCCACCTTCTTGTGACACCTCCTCCTCGTCCCCACTCTCCAGGCCCTCTCCCTTCCTCTCAGCTACCCTTCTCAACCTGACCTCAGACACTGCACAGACCTGCTGCTCTCCATCCACAGCCAGCTCAGTCCCCTCTGGGAGCCCAGGAGCCTCCCCCACCCCTCCCCACTTATCCTCTTGTCTTTGGCTCAGGCAGGGTGGTTGGTCTCCACTGAACCCCAAGAAGCCCTATCCGCAGAGATGTGGCAAAGCCTGGGGCACAGCTGGGGCAGATAGGGAGGGGGTGATGGTAGGTACTATCCTTCGCATTGAGGGTCCATCTGTCCTTCACCTCTATTCTTTGCTAAGGCAGCCGAAGGCATGCTCCCCACCAGGGCGCATTCTCCACCAGGGAATGTTCAGGTAGGGCCACCACCTTGCCGGCCAGAGTCAGGCTGGGGCTCCCTGTGACTTGGGCACCAGAGAAGACAGCCTCCCCACCTCACCATCCCAGTTCTCACTAGGCCCCAGTGTGAGCAGTGGGGCTTTAGGTGTCCACATTCCTTCGGCAGCAGCCCTCGCCCCCAGCCTGGCTCCCTGCGGCACTCCCATGGGAGTGCAGGGATGGGCGCCAGGGTGGGCAGCCAGGCCCTCCGTTGGGCAGAGGACACTTCAGAACGTGGCTCTGTGGAGCTTCACAGCATTGGCCTCGGCCAGGGCTTGCACTGCAAAAAAGAGAAACGAAGTGAGAAGAGAAACACAAAGGCTGCCAGGCTCCTGAGGGAGAACAGGCCTTTACAGATCTGCCAGGGGCCAATGGGCCTGAGAGGGGCAGAGATACCAAGGTCAGTGGTCCTTCCCACCTGCCTGACGCGGCAGCCCTGTGCAGTGGGCAGGGGAGGGGCAAGCCTTGGTCTATGGGCCCAAGGTCTCTCATCATTCAGTAGTCTGGGAGCGGAGACCTGCTCCGGGGGCTTCTGAGGGGTCTGTGGCAGGGCTACTGCGTATCTCAGCAGATGGGAACCGGTGGGCTGACAGGACAGGGGTGCACAGGCGAGGGCTCAGCGCCATCTCCCGTCTGCTTCTGGAGAAGCGAAGCCTGCTGGCCTTGCCGTATCCAAGAAGCAGCACCGCCAGGCGGCTGCAGCCAGCACTGCACAGGGACGCTGTCAGCTCAAGCGGACGGATGGAGGGGAGAGCACTGGGGCATGGGGTGGGGAGAAGCAATGCCGGAACACGGAGGCGAAGGTAGCTCAATGGGGGCAGGGAAGGGGGGCCCATCCCTGGGGCGGGTGGAGTACAGTAGAAAAGTGCTTACGTTGAGCTCAGACCCGCAAGGCATGGCTGCTGTCGGCGCCCCGGGGGCATTCAGACGAGAGGGGGTTGGCTGGTGGAGTCGGGGAGGCAGGGGAGGTGGGAGGGCTTGGGGTGGCGCATTGCACTGGAACAGAAATGAACAGGGTGGTGAAAAGGAGTGGGGGCAGGGAGGCTGAGGCTGTGCACCCAGAGCAGGCGAGGCCCCTTCGCAGCGGGTGGGGAGCGGGCGGGGGCAAGGCGGGGAGGCAAGCAGAACGGAGAGCTGGCTCAAGCGGAGGCAAAGCTGTCTCTTTCCGGGCATCCAGGAGCCTGGCCAAATCCAGGCTCCACTAAGAACCAGTGTGACTCTGTGAGGCTGGGCGCTCTCTGGGCCGGAGGCTCCCTTCCCATCCACGCGGGGAGGCTCGCGCCCCCCCCATTACTGTGCAGATAGAAAAGGGAGTGGCAGCTGACAGACTGCGGTGTCACTAATGATAATGATTAACAGTGCGGTAAAATCACACTAATCCAAGTTTTTGTGAGCAGGTAGAAGGGAAATGACCACCAAGTCAGTCACTTCATGAAGCAGAGCTTTCTGAAAAATGTCAAGTCAGTTCTGCGAATTTACACATGGGTGAGGGCTCAGAAACATGTCCCCCACCAGCAGGTAAGACCCTCTCTTCCACAATACAGTAAAGGCAACTGCAGTCCACAAACCTTAAATATCACACCAACCCCGAGATGCTGACATTTGGATTAGTGAGACTTTTACTCTGTAATCATTGTTACTCCGTGTCGAGGGCAGCAAAGTGGAAGGACAGTGAGAAGGGCGTCAGGACACTGGGGACAAGTGGTCTGCGGTCACCACACCCTGGCGCATCCTCAGTGTAGCCAAGAGGCAGGCACAAGAGGATGTTGAGGCAGAGAGGATGTCGCTGCGTGTGGGCTCAGAGAAGAACCAGACCTCAGCCAGGGTCACACTGCATTTCCAGCAAGAGGGATGTGACACTGACTTCTCAGTCCTTTGCTCCCCAAAGTCCTACTCTGGGCCTCATCACCTCCCCTGCCCTCTGTGGTAAAGAAAAGGCCACAGAGGTCTTGCCGTATCTGCACACACCCACGTAGCTGTCACACAGACGTGAGGTTGTGTCTGCCTGCACACAACACAAGGTTTGGGCCTGGGATGGGGCAACACTCACCGCACCCAACCCAGAGACCATATGTGAGTGTCTGTGCATTCTCAAGCCAGCGTCCTTCCGCGTGCCCCAACATACTTGGAACATCACGTACAAATACACTCACAAATGCTTTCAAACACACGCCTGTGTGCATATCCACATCGCTGACCCAACAGTTAGTTATCTGGACACCTCAACCAAAACAGTCAAAAAACTGACAGCTAAGCAAAGAATACCCAAGGAAGCTGGAGCACACGTTGTAGTGTGCATGGGCCGAGGCGCTTACGACTCACTCATGGGGGAGCCCCGTGGAGCCCCGTTTGTCTCCGAGTAGGTGTTGACCCGCTGGGGATCTGTCCCACAGCAAATCAGAAACAGGAAGATTAAGGGTGGGGGCGGTGAAAGACCCATGGAATGTTCAGAAAGTACAACTGAAGAGAGGCTTATAAAAGGTAGGAGGAACTGTAAAACTGTAACAATTCAGAAACACTTAGCAGGGCTATAAATAGATATACACATATGGCCGCTCCTGAGAGCATCCCTTTCATAGGAGTCAGAAAAATAGGGTATTTCATGGAGGTGGACTTTTTAGAAGTGGGGAAGGGGTTACGGGGAAGGAGGGAGAGGAAAGCATGGGAGAAAAGGAATAAAAAATAATCAAGATTTTATATACATACATATGTATGTATATATCATGAATTCCCCAAAACAAATGCTATTAGTATGTGTCATAAACATATACTAATAAAACGATTTTTTAAAAAGTAAGGATATTTCCAATGATATTAAATGAAGAAGAAAAATTAATTAAATAAATACAACCTCCTTAAAAGAATATTAAATGTATATTAGGAATATATCCATCAAAATAGTTAAAATTCATATGTGTAACAGGTGCATATTGGACAGATGTGATATTATAATATGTGCGGTCCTAAGTACCACACCTCTGTGGGGAAGTGACATATATGTCATCCAAACACACATGCCTGAGGTTCCACTCTCTCACACACACGCAGACATATGTTCACAAATACTAAAATATATACATGCAAGTTCTTTACCATTCCTTGTACTGTACAGAAAGCCAACCACACATAAATATGTGCGTTCACAAATGCTACTTCCACCCATATACTGCGCACTCATATACACGCACACCCACACACCAGCCACTTACCAGCCACAACCTGACTCCTATACACAGGTCTCCACACAACAACCAGAGACATTGTGTGCATGTGTACACACACATCCATATCCCTATATTTGCACGCATACATTCCCTCCACCTGCACACTGCACATGCGAACACACACACACATACACACACACACGTGTCTACAAATATAACCAAATATGGACTCTGCATGTGACATAGATGCCACAGCAAAATTCAGAAATGCTGCATCTCTTTGCTTGTGTCTGCACATACCAGGTGAATCTGCAAACTTCACAGAGCTCATCACTGATTACACTGTCCCCACCACATACCCACACTCAGGCACTGATCTCCACTTCCTGTGCCTGCTGTACACTGTCCTTGTGACCTGCGCCCAGCACTGCCCCCTCCCACAGCGTCCTGGGCCTGGACCTATGCCCATACGCATATGCCCAGGATCGGCCCTTGCTCTGGGGGATCTGGGCCACAGGCCAGGGGCAGTGGGAACAGCGGGCTAGGTCTGAGGTCTGGCCCTACCACAGCCATGTTTTACATAGTTTGGGTTTTGGCACAAGCAAGATGACCATTTGCTAGCAGCGCACAGACCCTGAAATGTAAGCCCCTGTGCACAGCCAGGGACATCTGATAGGCAGGGTGGGCTTATTTTCCTGGAACCTCGGGCTGGAGAGCTGCAGTAGAGAGAGCCAGGGCTGGGGCAAGGCAGAGCGAAGGTGTTTTTTTAAAATGCACTGTATGCTCTACACTCTTGAAACAGGAAGTTGCCTTTTGCCCAGAGTAGGTGGAATTTGATCTTTGGGTGGTTTGAGTTCATTCTGCAGCTAAACTACAGGGAGGTTCAACAGAGGCCTCCCTGCTTGCAGCCAAACTGGTTCTGCTGCCTTCTGGCTGCAGGACGGGCTTTCTCTGTCCCCTCAGCTGGACCCCGCTGGGCAGCCTGTCTCTGAAGGACCTCAGGGGCTTTCGCTGGTCACCAATTCCGAAGTTCTTTATTCCCACAGATTTTCTCTTACGTCTTATTTACATCCCTGTTGTTGTGGCCTACAATTCTCTGGTTTCTGAAAATATCTACATTGAAAAATAGAGAAATCACAGGTGGTTCCCATTCCAATTTCAGCTACTGCTACTTCAACTACTTCTACCAACATCACTACGCTACTGTCACGATCACAGCTACTACGGCCGGTTCGCATTTATTGAGCACTAAGGGCCAGGCACGGCGCTAGGAGTTTGGCAAGCGTTGCTTCTGACCCTCATGCCACCTGAACCGGAGGCAAGGATTCTGGTGTGAATTTTACAGGTGAGGAAATAGAGCCTTGGAGTGGCAGAATTTGAACCTCCCTCAATCACCCATGTGGACTGACACCCCTTTGACCATCCCTTGCCATGGATCTTATCTGCACCCTGCCTTCCTCTTTCCTAGGCTGCTGTAACTGTGGCCTTAATACTGGATCCCTCTCCTTTACCAAAGTCCCCAATCAGTATCACTTCTCTTAGCTGTGGCCTTCAAAGTCCTCACTTTGGATAAGGACAGTCTGCATATCCGTGACTTAACCAGTCTTCCCTCTGCCTACCCCCATTCACAGGAAACGGCCTTCACTCTGCAAAGCCCAGTAATGTCAAAACTATTCCACGATGCTATCTGCCACCCAGCAGAAATGAGTCCTGCTGACTGCAACCCATCACATCTACCACGGACCTTGTACCCAGGTGAAGCCACTTCCTCATTTTTATCTTTGCTCAGGAGGAACGTGGGTTTGGCTCAGCGGCCAAAGTGGTGATTATGACTCAGCTGCCTCCTCTTGTAATTCTCTTTTCCTTCTTTCTACTTGCATGGAGCAAGAATGGGAAGCAAAAGGATACCTAGAGTCCCCGGCCCTCTCTCCACAACTGGTTATCACCTTTTCTCTATGCCTTTCCCTCATACCAAGGCAGGATGGCTCACTGTGCCCCCGCCCCCGCCTCTGACCATTCCATGTGAGGATCGTCATGGCTCTGAGCCCATGGGTGTCAGCAGCTTTGGCCCCTCTGCACTCCCCTAAGCCTAGCACAGTACCTGGTGCTCAATAAATGCTCACCCTGACCTTGTGGACCATGTCCTTAGCCTTGCGTTCTCTGTCCCTGTCCCCCTTGCAGTCCCTACAGCGGGTCAGCTGGTCTCCCTGGCAGAGCGAGGCCCAGCCCCTCTCACCAGACAGCATGCGGCCCCTGCGGGAGGCCTCGGTCGCCAGGGCACAGGAGATTTCAATCCGCTTCTCCTGCTCCTGCAGCTGGCTCTCTGAGTCCTGGGGCACGTCCACAGAGTCCCCCTCGCCGATGGGCACCACGTTCTGCATACTGAAGAGGCACAGACACACAGACATGGAGGGGACAGCATGGTCCGATTGGCGTGGGGTGGCCTGCAGACTGAGGCTGGCAGGGCGGGCCGGGGCCTGTGAGTGCACAGCCTCTGGCGCCCAGCAAGGCTGTCCTGAGGAGTGGGACTCCTACCCTCAATATTTTCAAATGAATGCAAAGGTTCATGTGAACACTTAGGGCACCCTTGAAAGGGAGAAGTCGGCAGAGGCAGCCTTCAGCTCTGTCTTCGTGGCGCTGTGTGCATGAGCCCAGCACCTGGGCCAGTCTGCTGCCTCGAGCCGCTGCTTCTGCTTGCTCTCTCCTGCAGGCCCAATGCTCCCACAACATCTAGCACCCCATCTAGTCCCAGGTGCCAGGGAGGGCAGCGAAAGTGGAGGTTCACGCAGGCCCAGTACCTGGACTTGGCAATAAGTGTTTTGATCCTCTCCACCTTCTTCTGCTTTTCCTTCAACTCCTCAGGGCTCAGGGGAGTGTCTGGCTCCAGGTCAATGTACCGTTCAGGGATGAGCACTTTGTCCGGGGTGGAGAGCTGTGGAGGGACTGGCGTCACTGCCACCATGCCTTTCAGGGCCTCCCTACCTGCAGTCCCTTCCTGGATGCCACGTACCTCTTTATTGATGTCCACATCATAGTGCTGGGGCTCCAGCTCCATTTTGCGAAGCCGGGCAATTTCCTCCCGTGGTGTCTCATAGGCCTGGCCACCAGGCTCTTCTGCACGCAAGGCTGCCTCTAGGTTAGAGATGTCCACCTCGTGAATGCTGCGATGACGACGCACCTAGGGGACCACATGATTATGACCACGCCACTGCCACCCTGGCCTCATGGTGGCTCTAACTGTACCCATTATCCTCAATGTCCCAGATGCCCCATGCTCCCACTGCCTTCCACTGCATGGCTACCCTCTTCCCTGTGGCTTTCCCAAATCCACCCACCTGCAGGGCCCCACAGGAAAAATCTCATCAGCATCTCTCGTCAATGCTTCTCACCCCATCCTACTGTGCCCCCAATATTCACGTTCTGTGCCATGTATTTTGGGCATTCAAATCAGAGTGTCTTGTTTTGATTCCTCATTGTTTCATAGTACAGAATTCTCAGTTCATCAACTAGAATGTAAAATTGTTAGAGGGCAGGACTTCTGAATCATAATTTTTCTGTATTTCCAAAATGTAGTGGAAAGAAAAGCAGACACCTTGGGCTACTCCCAGCTCTGCATTTAATAGTTCTATGGCCCAGAAACCCCTATATTTCTCTTGACCTTTTTCCCTTAGGTATATAGTAGGGACAATAATTCCCAACCAAATGTTGTTAAAGGGCTTAAACAAAAGCATGAAAGGGGTGTGTGAGCATACTGCACAGTGCGCTGTCACAGCTGTCTGTGGGAAGCCCAGCCCAATGCTCAGCACATAGAAGATTGTGCCAGAAATGTGTATAACGCTGTTTCTGCATGGTGGATTTTGTACTGTTCTCTACTTACCGGATTTTGTATAATTCATTTCAGCAAAAATAACCACATTATTTGTTCCTTTGTGTGTGTGTTGTAAAACATACACAACAGACCTTGTTGCAGGAACACTTACCCTATGGGGAGAAGCCTCCCCTAGCTACCCTGGCTTGCTCAGCTTGGGTTCTCCATCTCCTCTCTCCCCAACCTTCCTGGCACAGGTTGGCCATGCCTTAAAAGTGAGCAGCATGGCCAGAGGCCAGGCCCCGGGCCTTGAGCTGCTGGGAGGACATTACCACTTTGTAGGTAGGTCGCGTGCTGGGTTCAGGGGCTGGGCTGGCCGGGAGCTGCAGGCTCCTCCGCTTCTCCTTCATGGATCCACTCTGGTGCCTCCGCATTCTGTCAATCTGCTCCTCTACACTCATCTTGACCTTGCCCTCACCAGGGAACACGGCGCTCTTGGGGCGCTCCTGCTGCAGTGGGGAACAAGGCTCTGCCAGGCTCTTCATGCTGCACCCAGGCTTCGCATCCACTCTAAGACCCTACTGTTTCCCTTCTATGGGAAGCCCGCCCCCGCTGGGTTGAACAGTGGTCCCCAAAACATATGTTGAAGTTCTAACCCCTAGGACCTGTGAATTCAATTTTAGTTGGAAATACAAGATCATCCTGAATTAGAGTGGGGCCCAAATCCAATGATGGGTGTCACTGCAGGAGACAGAAAAAAAGACAGCACAGAGTAGAAGGAGATGTGAAGATGGAGGCAGAGGTTGGCATGAACTGAACCATTCACTTGAAAAGAAATGCCAACTACTGCCAGCCCAGCCAGCTTATATCACGAGCCTGGAAAGAGGCATTGACAGATTCACCCTGGGAGTCTCCAGAGGGAACCAAACTGCCAACATCTCACTCTTGGACTTCTGGCTTCTCCATATATGAGAGAAGACATTTCTGTTGTTTGAGGCACCCAGTACGTGGTGAGTCATTACAGGAGTCCTAGGACACTAACATGGATTTTGGAACTGGGAAGTATGGTTCTACTGTAAAAAATACCTACAAATATGGAAGAGATTAGGAATTGGATAATAGGTAGAGAATGGAAGAATTTTGAGATGAATGACAGAAAAAACCCTATATTTCCTTTTTTTTTTTTTT